CTATTGAAACCTCTTATCAAACACGTTCGGAACTTCATTCTAGATTTTTTGAATCATCTGCCCAACGAGATAAACCATAATATTAGATTGGTGCAAAATAATGACGTAATAATGTCGTATTCTGGCGTATTTTTTAACGTCAAAAAACGACATTATTACGTCATTATTTTTGCACCAACCTAATATTTATATGATATCAATGGATCTTGTGAACCCATATAGCAACATACCACGTGACTATGGAATAGAGGCCACTAAATACGGAGCTAGAAACGTTTCCCTATGAGCTACGAAATCGTATCACAGGAAATTTCATGATAGAAAGCCTAGAATTCATTTTAATTACAATTATTTCATATTCAACAAAACAATCTACCGATAAAAATCAGGAACAACCATGGGGATGAAGCTTGTACCCACATATGTCAACCTAGTCATGGGATACCATGAAATAAAAATCTGACAGAACCTCGGACATCTATGTGAATGACTTCAGTTGCAACATGAGTAAAAACTGGAAAAGGTATCTAGATGACTGTTTCATTCTGTGGAATGTAATCTGGATAAGCTAAAGACATTTATATAAAGACATAATATAAATCCTAACATCCAATCCACTATGGAGTACAGCAACAAAAAACTTCCCTTTTTAGACATATTAATAACAAAAACAATAATCTAGAAACCGGCATATACTTTAAACCGACTGACTCTCGACAATATCTTCTTTTTACATCTTCTGATACGAAACACACTGGTACCAACATCCCACTCAACCTAGCCAAGCGGATATGTACATTAGTCTCAAAAAGCCTCAAAAGATAAGAAACTAGAAGTGATGAAATAATACTCATCAAGAGAGAATACCCACAAGGTTTGATCAGCAATAGTATTGAAAAAGCAAAACAAATTACCATCCACACACTCCGAGAAACAAAAGGAAAGAAAAAAAAAGGAAAAAAAGTCATCTCTTATAACTTTCAACCCAAAGAACACAGAAACTTACACACACATACAACTAAATCTACCAATTCTACGAAAGGACAAAAACAATAAATTATTGAAAGCCTATTACAAAAATATCCAATCATAAAAAGTAAACGACAACCTGAATCACTAAAAAAGATACTGACGAGTTCCAAAGTGCAGAACACAATTAAAGACACCCTCAGCTGAAAAAAATGCAACCGACCATTTTGCGGAGGACGTAACTACCTGTTAGAGAGACACGAATTTCATTTCAAGGACGGAGCAAAATTCAAAATGATTTCTCATGCGATTCAGTGAAATTAATATACATAATTACATGCAAAGGTTGCCACCGGCACTGCATTGGCCAAACTGGTCAGTCACTTCGGCAAAGGATGACAATTTATCGCCAGCAAATTAAGGACCTCACACAAGAAAAATAGCCCTTATATATCAATATATAGACGAATACGAAGGACAAATATATAAAATTTTACTGTCATTCCCCTCTACCAGTGCAACTATAGAACCACTGAAAAAAGGTGGATTAATAAAAAAAAAAAAAATTCATCAACATGTTCAAACCCATCTTTATTTCATTGCATAAATAGCTTCTGCCAAGTTCCCCTTCACGAGAAACGACATATATAGAGAGTTACGCCCCTTGATACTCATTTTTTTCATTTGTTCGAAACAGAAGCATAACACGTGGAGATAGAAACGGTTAAGAACTTTGTGAAAAGCTAAGCCAAACCGGTTAAAATATAAAAAGTATGAAAATAAGGACAAAAATAATTTTTTTTTCTAAAAAATAAACACTGAAAATTCAGTTGTAAATAACAAAGTTTTAATTCTTCTCTGGAAAAATTCATATATTATAAATAAATATCACTATATTATTAGGTTTAATTCCCACTTTAGTATATACAATAAGTTTTTGTACAGACCCTTTCTAACAATTTTTTTATATATATATATATATATATATATATATATATATAATTATTTTCAATAGTACTTTACTTTTTTTTGTTATTTTATTTTATCACGGCATGCTTTCTTCTTGATATCATAGGTTCAGTTAGTTTTGTGATATTATTATCAATTAGTTCTTGATTTTTGAAAAAAGATAGAGTTGCCTCCCTTGATTTTCCAACGTCCCTTTTTTGTTTACTTACGTTTTCTAAACAAGACCCTCTCTAATTTAGAATTTATGTATCTTATTTCCAACCTTATTTCCAATCTTACATGTTAATCCGGGCTTAAACTCAACTTCGAAATGGAACTACAATTCATTTAAATATTTTCAATTCAATGATATTCCCCATGCAACAATAATATATATCGTTCTGTTACTTAACATAGAACTCTGTAGAGCATTTATATGCATTTGTATACGCTCGCTCGTATATTTACCAATTGTGTGTATTTAATAAAAATGCATCAAAATATATATATATATATATATATATATATATATATATATATATATATATATATATACTGCTAAAATCCGTGGGTAATAATCCAAGTGAATCCTAATAATATAAACTATTAAAATTGACCAACAAAAGACAGGTGAATACATTTAATTATAGCATAGAAATAAATTTAATAAAAATGAAACTGAACTTTCCCCTATTTATATGGCCATTTCACTAAGTTTAGTGAGAGAAATTCCTGGAGCTTCTCAATACTAAAATGTTTTAGTATTGAGAAGCTTCAGGAAAATCTCTCACTAGAAGGAAATGGCCATATAAATATGCGTAAAATTGAGTTTCATTTTTAATGATATATATATATATATATATATATATATATATATATATATATATATATATATATAATTTTTTTATAAAAAATTATAACACAAGTATGTTATAAAATCACTAAAAAAAAATAAGCCATTTTGTTTCAACACACTCTGTGTCTTATCAAGTGATGATATATATATATATATATTTATTTTATGCAAAATTAGGTAATCCTTATGGTTACAACTAAGGAGGATGATATCCAGAGAGATCAATGTAAATTCAGAGCAAATATGTTTGAATAAAAACGGATCACTTTAAGGTTCCATGTAATAAGTTATTTCACCACAACCATTTAAAGGACTTTGGATCATCAGACTTTACTTCCAAAAGTTGAAATGAAAAATTTTTCATTAAAAGGGTTGTGGTGAAATAACTTATTACATGGAACCTTAAAGTGATCTGTTTTTATTCAATTATTATTATTTTTAAAAAATGTTTTTATTTTTATATATAATATATATATATATATATATATATATATATATATATATCAATTCCATAAAATGAAACTGAATTATATATATATATATATGCGTGCGTGCGTGCGTGTGTGTGTGTGTGTGTGTGTGTGTGTGTGTGTGTGTGCATATATATATATGATATAATGGAATATGCGTACACCTCTGTTCCCCTCACTGGAATAAGATTGACTGGTGTCCGTCATAAATACCGACGGATGTGTAGGAGAGTCAAGAGCCTTAGTCTGAGAGCTTAGTCTATAACGACGCCCAATGGACTATGACATTGATCTACACTTCTTACCTGCGACTACGACGCGTACCAGTCGATTACTGCTACCATATTCTACTTGGTTATAGTAGCCAATACCACTTAGCTACTTCGTTCAAATATATCCCTTTCCGGGACATTATATATATATATATATATATATATATATATATATATAATCAAAAAAACAGATCACTTTTAAAGTATCATTAATAGTAATGGTATCTGAAAGTGGTCTGTTTTTTAAATATTAGCTCTGTATTCACATTGAGCTCTCAGAATTTCATCCTCCTTGGAATTACCCATTCGGTTTACCAAGTTCTTCGTAACTTATATATATATATATTTTTTTTTTCTGGTTGTTTCTTCAGATCTGGATTTTGAAGTGAAGGTATGCATTTTGGGGGGCTTTCCTCAAACTATGATACACGTAGAACAAAGTTTTCTTATTGACAATAAATTAGATTCAGACAACCAACATTTCATAGTGTTAAACACATTTCTGAGACTAAAAATTTCGATTCCTTAACTTGTGGGGTATATGGTATAGTGTATGCTTGAAAATCTAATTACATACTGGGGAGTTTGGTTTTCCTCTCGTCACCCCGTTGTTCATATTCTAAGGTCATTTGGGCCGACCTTTTTTAAATGTCCGTGCAGCCACTGACCTACTTTGAGTTTCTGTTCTTTAGTTCGTGGCAATGGGAACACCATCCATACCAACCTTTTGATGCACACGACATGTTCAATGCTCTGCTGCGGACCTATTTTGTTATCTCTTAGAGTGAGCTCGACGCTCACAATTACTTTCACAGAAATAAAAGAATTATGATTCGGTAGAATTATAAAGTTTTCTGAAGTATATATCAATGTATTTAAGTATAGTTTTAGCCATTTTGTTTCAGAGAACAGAAACAAAAGAAATTTTTTCTTTAATAAAGGGAATAGAATCTTTGTATTGTTCTGGAGGAGGAGAACAAAGAAGGACAAAGGAAAGGCGAGAAGAAAGAAAGAAAGAAAAATAAAGCCAGGAAAGGAAATATAGAAAGGCAGAAAAATAAGACAGAAGAAATAAGTAAATGAAGAAAGAAAAATGTAAAAAAAAAAAGGAAAAGGGTGCGCAAGAAAGAAAGAATGAAAGAAAAGAATAGAGAGAAAGAAAGAAAAGAAAAAAAGAAATCGTGTTTAAAAGGAATTAATGTTGGATTACAAGATTTGTTGGTTGGTTGCCCGTTTTTTATGGCTTGTCAACCCTTTGCGGGTAAATTAATGCGAGAACATATTTTTAGACTGTAAGAATTTCTTTTGGGGATAATAATGATTTATTTATAAAAGTCTTCTTAATTAACCAATAACTTGGAAATGATGTGAATTCACCCCCTTTCCCAACCGTAAGTAAATAAAACGAAACCCACATTGATTTGAACTCTGCTCTCTGATTTAAAATTCCGAGCCATTATCCATTAATCTATCAGCAGATGCAAGTTTACAACACCTGGTATTCCCAAACGGTCACTCGCCTCAGTACCGACCAGCCTCGATGTTGCTTAACTTCGGTGATCGTACGGGAACCGATGTTTCCACCTAATGTGGCTCTAACCCTTATGATTAAAAGCGTAAAAAAGTATGAATGAAAAAAAAAAAATTAATGAAGAAATTCTTCCATCTTCATGAATGAAAACTAAGTGTAGAAAGAGGATCAAAAGTCGATTAAAACAAAAGGAAAGGGGATTAAACATCATAAACATATTAATGGAAATAGTAGTGACACAGACGACGAGATAAGTGACGTGGGTCACCATACAGTGACGAAAGCGGCAACCAAATTCAGTTCGTTTACAGCAACAAACTGGAAGGTTGTTTCCTTAGCCCTGCACTCCTCATCTAAATCTGTCTCACACCAGGTTACATGTTGATGGTACCGTTTCTGTTTGTGATTTTGTTTTTCCCAGTTATAGAATGAAACTCCAGCTCGCAGTCCTCAATGTGGAAATTCAAAACGCGCTGTTTCCCGGTTGTGAATTATCTCCTTGCCTGTGACATAGATGTCAAAGTATATACGCCATTCCTTTTCCTTTCAGGCATTCTTTTCTGTTCGTGAATTACGCATTATTATAGAACGGATATAATAATGCCCCCAAAACGGGGGAAAAAAAGAAATATGTCTTCCATAGAACACTTCCGTTACAAAAAAAAAAAAAAAAAAAAAGTGGAAGAAAGGAAAAAAGAAAGAAACAAAGTAAAAACAAATAAAAAATCAGCAAAATGAAAGAACTGTTAAGCAGACAAAAACAAGGAAGGAATATAAAGAGAATAAGAAAGAAAAGGAAACATAACTTTCAAAGAAACTGGCATAAATTTACTACAATAAGATAAAGAGAGAGAAAAAATGAAATGGAAAATAATGGCGGTTAACACAAGTGAAAAGAAGGAAAAGACAGAGAAGAAAAGAAGAATTGTAAGAAGATAGAAAAGCAAAAAAAATCATTAATTGACCGAGAAAAAGAATAAAGAAAAAGCATGAAAAAGAATGAAAGAAAGAAAAAAAGAATGAAAAAAGAAATAAAATAGAAATAAAGAAAAAAAGAAACAAAAAAAGGAAAGAAAGAAAAAGAAAATAAGAACAAAGAAGTAAAGAACAAAATAAAAAAAAGAAACAAACAAACAAATGTTAAAAAATTCATTATTAGCAATAGAGGTATCCAGAAATAGTGCCAAAAATACAGCGAAAATAAAATAAAAATATTATTATTAAAATTCAAAGTCATTCAGTGTAACATTATTAAGAATAAATAGCGTTATTAATAAAGCTTTTAATAAAGTTATTATATCTGCTAATAACGTTTTCAATATCATAACGATAAAAAGAAAATTAAATAATAATATTAATAACAGAGAAGAAAAGAAAGCGTGCACCATATAACAAAAAAAAAATGGAAATACGAAAAAAAAAGAATATTAATAAAAAATATGAAAGAAGCAAAGATTAGACAAAAATAAATGAAAGGATACAGAATAAGCGAATGATTATATGAAAGAGTGAAGAAAACATGAAAGAATAAAGGAAAAAAGACAAGGAAAAATAAACGAGACAAATGAAGAAAAATAAATGAAAGCAAACAGAATAAGCGAATGACTATGTGAAAGAGTGAAAGAAATTAAGAAAGAATAAAGGAAAAAAGACAAGGAAGAATAAACGAGGCAAAGCAAGAATGAAAGCATACAGAAAGAATGAAGGAAATAAAGAAGGAATAAAAGTCAAGAAAGGAGAATAGAATGTATGAAAGAATGACACCAAGAAACAATAACGAAAGAAGACAAAAACAAATAAAGAACAAAAGACAAAGAATAAATGGAAGTAAAAAATAAAAGCGAAAGATTATAAGAAAGAACCAATGAAAAAAAGAAGGAATAAAGGAAATAAGGCATAAAAGACGAAACGAAGGAATATTTAAAAAAAAAATGAAGGGGAAAATGACATGAAAGGTTAAATGAAAGAAATGAAGTATAATAAATGAAAAAAAGAAAGGGGATGGGTAGATAAAAGGACTCATGAAATATAGAAATATGAACACATGAAAAATCATTGAAAGTAATAACCTAAAGAAAAGCATGAAAGAATAAACGAAAGAATAAACGAAAGAATACAAGAAAGAAACGCTACAGGAGATGACAAATCAAAGATACAATGAAAGAAACCAAGAAATAATAAAGGAAAGAAAATATGAAATAATAAATGGAAGGAAAGAATATAAAAAGAATCGATGAAAAGAATTAAAGGATAACCGAAAGAAGACACGAAATAATCAATACAAGGATTGAAAAAAAAAGAATTCTTCAAATGTCATAAAAGAATAAAGCGGAAGAATTCAAGAAAGAATAGAAGAAAGAACGCGCGAATGAATCAATGAAAGGAGGAAAGAAAGAATGAACCAAAATAGATAGACAGAAAAGAACAAAAGAAAGGATACATGGGACAATAGAA